GCACACCAGAATTTTGTATCTCCTCCCCCCTATGGCTCCTCTCTGCTTCCAGAACTGCAGCATCCTCTTTTCAATGCTGCCCTCCAGATCTGTTGTCATCAGTATTTCCTCCTTCCAGAGAGAGGGCAGTATCTCTGTTCAACAGTCGAGCCTCTTCCCCAGTAGTGAGCTGTGGGGACTTGCAGTAGTAAATAGCAGTTTCCTGCTGCTCCTCTGAAACCCCGTCAATGCTGCTCTACCACCTTGGGTCATTTCCCTATGGCCCAGCATCTTCACCCTCAGCTCAGGGCACTCAGCAGTACTCAGGAACTCCCTCTCACTCCTCTGGTACCTACTGGCAGCTGCTCTGATCAAGGTGCTTAGTTCTGTCAGACTCCAGGGATGCAGATCATACTCTCTAGGGTCCCAGTGGCAAATGACCCTACTCTTCCCTGCAGCTCCCTTTTATCAGAGCCTGCTGAGTACAGATGGTTGCCCCCTGCAACTCCTTCCTGATTGGTTGTGCTTCACAAAGCCACTCTGGGCTGCTCAAATGACTCATCTCCATTGCTCCTTCCAAAGCAGGGCATGATTAACCCCTTCAATCCTTGTGTGGGGCAAGCACCCTATCACAGCACCAACCTCATGTCAGACTGCCAGGAAACAGTTCATGTAACCACAAATTAGTGGTATTATCTTTAGTAAGATTTTACCAAGCCAGTAACAAATGTGTGCTTCCAAAATACCATAATACAAGTTGGACCTCCCTGGTTTGGCACCCTCGGGACTGGTCCCAGACAAAGGAGTTTGCCGGACCATGGGTGGTCCAAGTAAGGGGAGGGGGGCACCAGCCTCCCTGCTGAGCTCCTCTCCCTGGCCACCAGGTTTTTTCCATTCCAAAGAACCAGATATGTGCCAGGTCAAACTATATTTCAGATTTTACTGATTAATGCTTACAAAGGAAGAGCGCTGTTAAGAGGTTAAAATTAATCAAATACATTACAGTTGATTTCAGAATATGCAAATCAGAATAATGGAAGTGATGTTAAATCTGCCAGTCTGTGATTAGTCTTTCCGCACCATCCCAAATATTGGGGTCCTCAGTCCATTGTTCAAAGCTCTTCTTGGTTAGAAATTATAGTCCAAAGATGTAGAGTAAGAAAGTGGCAAAGAAATAACATCACAGTCTGCACTTTTATACCCTCAGCCCCTGTGCATGGAGGGATAATGTCTCAAACATGGAGACAGAAATCACATTTTCTCCTGCTGAGTCACTGGGCCTCCATTGTCCATATGTACTCTGACGCATCCTTGGGAGGGGCCTACTGGAAGAGTTGATCCTCTTTATTGGCCCATCAACCAAGACTGGATAGCCTTAATGTAAATCTGTTTTGTGGCTGTAACCTAGGAACACAACACATGTGAAATACCAACATATACCAAATATTCACAACCTGAGATACAATGATCGTAAATAAATTTGAACAGTATAACACTTAGCAGCTCATAACATTTCAACTAATACCTTACAAGTTATACTTTGTATATAATTTATCAGAATTGTGCAACATTGATTATATCTTAGTATACAAATGGCCATCTTTCTTTCTATATGGCCTCACGGTAGCCTTTAAAAAATCCGAATGTAGTTTTCAAATGTTTTGAAAAATAGGAAATTGAACCAACACTTTAAACAACTTTTTAAAACTATAGTTCAGTTTGCTGTATGTGATTCAAGAAAGAGTTCCTATTCAACATATTCTTTAAAAAGTGCAAACATTAAAAAGTATGGCGATCACAAGCTAAGTGACAGAAAAAAATTGACACAAACCTTAATATTTGGTTCACACACTCACGTGACTAAAGAGAAATAATTCGTATTGATTAGCACCCAAACATCCTTAATTCTGCAACAAGACATTTATGGTACCTACAGAATCTAAAGCAGGGCTACTCAACTTTGGAGGCCGCATGGGCCACAATGATACCACATGCGCCGAAGGCCACAACTTAAGTGTGGTTGCATATACATGCAAATATATATGAAAATATATGCAAATAGCTTCTTTCACACAATGCCCCGGTGCTCCTGGTAGCTCATCCCTGGGGCTGGAAATGCCAACACCCTGTACCCATCTGTTCCAGCCAGCCTGTCTGCTTGCGTCTTTCATGCTCACCCCACCTGGGAGACACCTCACTGTTGTGGCACGTGTTCCCAGAGGAGGCCACGTTCAAAGGATCCCGCCCGCGGGCCGTGTGTTGAGTCCCATGGAAACCCAACCACACTGCGGGCCACAAGCCAACGGGCCACGTGCCGCACGCAGCCCATGGGCCGTGTGTTAAGTAGCCCTGCTCTAGATCATCCCTGACAGGTGTGTGTCTAACCTGCAAAGACATGATCTCGTCATTCCAGTACATGGAGCTGTGTGGGTGCTCAGTGTGTGTGTGTGTGTGTGTGTGTGTGTGTGGGGGGGGGGTGTGTGTGTGTGTGCGGGGGGGTGGGGGGT